GTGTACTTAAAACTCTCATTTTATCTGTTGATATTTTCTTTACACATTTATAGGCTTGCACTCCTACAACTGTATGACATGGTCTACAGAAACACCTATGTGCCATTCGGCATAGCACAAGAATGGAGTAAGTACTTTCTTTCCTACTAACAAACTGTGAAATCGTCCAGGAGACCTTACAAATATTCCCAGGAACTATTACCATCTTTCAGAAAAGAGGCAATAATTATCTTTTTGTGCTTTATGTAGAGATTCACTTGAGTCTGGCTTTTTGCTTCTGTTTTAGCTTGCTTTTTATCATCTGGAGAGTGTATTATTTCATCATGCAGTGGCATGGCATTACATAGTTCACTTTAAATCTCTCAAGTTTCTGAATTAATGACTTCTCTTATTAAATAAATATTATTACATATTAAACATTAAGCTATATTATAAGCAGAGATGTTGGTGATAGTAATAGAATAGTTATTTATTAATAATTGTAATCAGAAAAATATTATCTCTACTTCTATAATTATAAGTACAAGATAGGTTTAAAATATATATTTTAAAGTACTTTAAATATGATACGTGTTATTAAATGTTAAAACTGAAACCAGAGAAGAGGCTCAGTCACCATCCCTGAATCTTGTGATGACTGCTATACAACCAACATAATTTACAGTCTGAAATGAACAAAGACAGTGTGTATTTACAGAATCAGAGGGGAATTTTTTGTTGCCATTAAGGAACATGAATTTTTACTTCAGGCCAATTAAATATGCAAAGTACACAGTTGTTCTCACCAAATGCACAAACTGCTACACAGCGATTAACAACCAACTGAACCAAACAAAGCAGACAAGTCTGGTTTTGAAACATAAGTGCTTTAAATTAAATACATAAATAACTAAAATTCAGTTCTAAAAAAGATTTTTTTGAACTCCCCAGAGATGATGTCTGTTCCATAATCCAACAGGAGGAAATGGAAAAGTTCAGCTACCAGGTGGCACAGCTTAATCTGAGGAACAGACACTGGAGTAGCTGAACAAAGGGAGTAAGCAGGCCAAGCACCTGACATAGGATCTACTCAATGGGAAGTGATTTTCAATGTCAATAGCTAAAAAGAATAAAATATATTTTAACAGTTAGTATATTGTGGGATATTAAGCAACTAGAGCTAGGGAAAAAACCAAACATTTCTTTTTAATTACTGAGCCAACAAAAAGCTGCATGCCACGTGAATTGAGAGCTGTCTGCAAATGCCTACCAAAAGCTACACTAAAGTGGTACAAGCACAGTATAATGAAGCAGTAACAAAGCTCAGCAACCATCTTCAGCAAGGAACAAACTTCTACAACCAAACACTATGAACAAATTAGATGCTGGACTAAGCATACAACCTGTTTCCTTTCTCTTACAGTCTGTGGCCAATGGAAATGCTTTGAATATTGCCTTATTCCTCTACTGGAAAAGTCTATCCTTATAATATCAAATAAGTGCCTAGAAGGCACCTAGCACTTCTCAGCGTGCTGGACGTAGCTATTTCTTCGATCCACTGTCTCCGGTTCTTTCCAATTACTCTTTCTTCTCTCACTTCAGTTACCCTTTTGTTCAGTTCTCAGGTTGCATTTACACAGGATCACCACACTTACCAGAAGGATTAGTCAATCCCAGGTAGAAGGAGCAGTCCGCCTCCTAAACTGCCGTCTACTTGTACGAGCACGTGTCATGAGTGAGGAGTTCAGTGTAGTCACTATGTGAAGTCCCTATGTAACGTAAGTTTCAAAGCATCTAAGTTACCCTTCAGGGTCTGCCATTTATTGTGAATAATGGAACTGTCCACTTCAAGATAATGCCTATAAAATCAGTAGGTAGACCATTCTCCATAGCAAGATCAATGCTTGGATCTCACAGCAAGATTAAACTAAAATGGTCACAGGTCTGTAACAGCAGCTCACTGTATAAAACTTTTATCTTTGATTTGGGTTTCTTAGAGTGGAAAAAAATAAGATTAAGTGAAATACCAGCATGAGGAAGGGAAGCAAGAGCAAACCTCAACCTAGGTTAAAAATTTAGTATTTCAAGAAAGACTCAGTAAACACGGTAATAAGCATCACTATTACAACTTCAAAAGGGATTAAGCTAACATAGAAATGGGACAAAAAAAGGTTTTATAAGATCAAAAAGTTGGTCTGCCATAATCAGGACTTTGCACTTAACAGTGAGGAGAAGCATTAGAAAAATCTAACGCAGGCTGTAACACAGAAATGAACTAGCCTACTTAAGAGTATCTTCATCAGGTAGTGCTAAGTTTATGTATAAAGCATGAGACTTAAAAAAAAAAAACAAAAACCCACCCCCACACACAAACACAAAACATAGCTCCTATTTATAAGTGAAAACATCCATTATTATAAAAGGATTAGGTACTTGGATAGCCACTAATTGTTCGATCTCTATCCTTTCTTTTCCCCAGTCAGCGAGTGGCACAGGTTAATAACGTTATGTAAAAACATAATTTGATATTGATATAAATTGATAAAAAATTGGTTGCCCTTTAAATTCAACAATTCTTTGTTCTTATATTATGAAAGAGGGTACTTTAGCTAAATTGTTTATTATTCAAAATAACTAACCTGACCTTCTTATCCATCTCCTCTTTACACTGAATGCCTCCAATCATCCCAGCATTCAAAAAAAATCTTTCTATTTGCTCTCAGTACTTATTTTCTTAGAGCATCTCTGAGATATCTCGAGTTGAATGGACATGCACACAAACCTCAAAGCAAATTCAGTAAGAATCGTACTGCCAGCCTGTGGAAGTAAGACTGATACTAGAAATGTGTAATTTACAGCAGCTTGTAATGTGTCCACTGATGTGTCTAGTAATGGGGAAAAACTAAAGTGATTAAGTCTAACTTAACAATAATACTGAATGTCAGCAAGCCACAACACCTTGCAAATACAACTTTAAAAAAAGGCCTGAAGATGCAGTTTCATATTTTAAATTGTTAGATGCACTTTGAAATGGTTAGTCCGTTAACCATAGCATCATTGAGCCACTATAGGTATGGGATGTAAGAAATTTTTTTAAAAATGCCATGATTAGAAGGCTTGCTTCTATAGCAAGAACATCTGATGCAAAACACATACTCAGATCATAAAAATGAAAGGTATTGCAGCTTGTCCACTCTTAATACGAAACAAGAATTTGTGGACTTAAAGACAAATGTAATAATGTAATAAAAATGTAATAAAGAACAAGAAGGTGATAAGCAGAAATTTGGCATATGTAAATAAAAATAGCATTTACTTAAGTAAATACAAAAATTTAGTAACAAGTAAATATAAAAGTCCAGTAAAAATACTGCAAGAAGTTTAAAAAATGTTTAGGTCTCAATACTCACTATTTAGAAAAGAGATTTACTCTAACTCTGGTATATGAGCTATTTTCATACAGTGCAGTATCAGAAAAGATAATTTTACAAACTGAAAGCAACAGATTAGCCCAACCAAAAATAGTAATTCAGGCATATGAGGGAGCTTAATAATGCATTTTTATTACAAAGAGAAGTAGTCCAATCTGAAAAATATGTGGACAATTGGATGGTGCAGAACAAAGATTCAACTCTGCATCCTTTTAAGCTTCTACTCATGTATATCCATACCCTCAAGCCATTATCACTGCTGCTACTTTGGGAGACATCAGAAGAAAGCCAAAGACTTGAAAAAGCAATGAGCCTGTAACATCATCTTACCCAAAAGCAACTCCTCTGGGCTCACAAGCAGAACAGAATGGGAAAGCTAATACTGACACTGGTAGTGGTGCATCCATTCCAGACACCGGTGGAGAGCCCCACTCTGCACAGCTGTTTGTGCAGTGCCCAGAAAGAACCTCTGCAAAAATCTGCACAAATATGCAAGCCATGCTGCCAGCTTAAAGTATCTCGTTATCCAGATGTGCTGGCCAAAATCCAAATGTTTCAATTCCTTTTAGAAGAATGGGTGCATAGTTTAATTGTTCCTCTTAAACAGCCTGTTTCTGTAAAATACTTCTGCTTTATGTTGGTAGCAAAGGCTAATGAGACCTAACTTGTGATTAAACTAAAGACCAGGTCGTCCCAACAGTCATTGGCTGATCAAATTCTCATTTCAAAACCTCATTTTGAACACAGTAATTGTTCTCCACTGTTTAAACATAGAAAATACATTATTAATTCATGGTTCACATATTTATAATTGGGTTTACATGTAAATTATTTGAAATCCAAAAAAGTGTAGTACCCTGTGATCACTAAGGCTGTGCGAGAATCAAGAGAAGCATCAGCGAGGTTCTGCCTTTCCATTTCAAATTGGAAGTATCTACTGCATTGAAAAGGCTTTCCAGGAATGTTTCTGCTTATGTTTTTTCTTGGTGTAGGGGTGTCAAATTTGTTAAGAAAAACAGAATTCACTCTGAGCAAACGGAGTGATAGGGTATCACAGAATCATAGAATACCAGTTTGCAAGGAACCTCAAGGATCATCTGGTCCAATCTTGCTTGGCAAAAGCACGGTCGAGACAAAATAGCCCAGCACCCTGTCCAGCCAAGTCTTAAAAAGTGTCCAGTGTCAGAGAATCCACCACTTCCCTGGGGAGATTATTCCAATGGCTGATTGTTCCCACTGCGAAAAACACAGTAGTAAAAATGTGTAGAAGTTCTACTCAGTGTTAGGAGAAAAACAGAGCCAGAAAAATTGGCACCATCAGCTACAAGTGCTGCATGGCACTTGGAAAGGGCTTTTGCTTCTAGTGTCAAAGTATACTCCAGAGCTTTTGTATTATCAGTTTGAATTCTTAAGAAGTTTTATCCGCTCTGCCCTTTTATACCCATTACACGTACTGAAACCAGTAAGATATTTTATATCATTTAGTTGCTGATACAATTTCTCCAGTACTTTTTCATTGCAAAAATCAATTTCCGATAAATTACATACAGGAAGTTAAGACACTTTGTCTTAGTATGTTTTTGTCTTACAAATAATTGTGTAATCTTCTCTTACTGACATCAGCAAGAGTGTTCAGGAAATACACTCACCAGAAACTGCATATACCTATTATTTTTTAAAAGTATGTACTAATGATATTAAAGCTGTTCTGCAAAAGTATGCCCTCTTTATTATTCCCTGTTCCAGTTAGAGCTAGTCAACTCTTTGTACAGAAAACACAAAATTTTGCTGAAGATGGCACAGCCATCCTGCAGACAAGACTCAAGTTAATTAGAAATTATGATGAGCTGAAAACACCTGAGAGTAAACAGGCCAAGAGCCATCTGTTGCTGTATCTCCCCACCATCTGAAGTTCCAAATGAAATCACAGATTTTTACTGTGCACTTAGCGAGGATCATTAATCCCCAACATTCTAGTTTTTATACAAAAAAAGCTGTATTTTTTTGAGAAGCAGTTTTAAATAATTTTTTAAATGATTCTTTATATATCCTAAGTCTAACAGCATTACTACGACTGTGTTTAAGTTCTGCATTGGGTATGTCACAATGAAAGGCCACTCAACCATGTGTTATGAAAACATATTACAGGTAAATTTTGACAACCAAATATTTTTACTGCAGAAAAATATCTGTGTTTATAGTCTCTATTCCCAAACCTAAAATTAAACGTGCTGGCACACCTGCAATTTTGAATGTTAATTTTCAGGGTGATTTGGGTTTTTTTTTCATTTGGTGTTGGATTGGGTTTTTTTTCATTTGGTGTTGGTTTGGGTTTTTTTAAAAGGCCAAAAAAAAAAGCAATGGATGGTATTTTATCATAAATAGGATTTGAGGTATAAGCCAAGCTGTTGTATTGTTTCCTTTTCTGAAAAATGGTGTTAATTCTTCAAAAAGAAGAAAAAAAAATTCATTTATACTGAGCTAGGTTCCCCCAGAATTCTCTCTCAGTCTGGCTCTAATGCATCTTGGAGATCCAAATTAAACTTCAGCCCTTCAATACATCAAAATTCGTGTTCAGATGTAGTTTGTAAGAGGAGGTGTTGGAAACCTGATCATCCTTATTATTTATACTCGGGAAGAATAATTAAATAAAAAAAGCAGAAGCATTTGAAGTACATGAAGCTCTTGATATTATGAGGGTTTTCACTAAAAGACAAGCCCTTCTTATGCCATAAAACAAGCTAAATTAACTTTTCCTTGCACTATAAACCTTCTATGCTTGAGATGGACTGAAGAGTGTTATTCTTACAGAGGCAACAGGTAGCCTAGGAAAAGTTTTCTCCTTTAAAGCAGAATCATGTCAGTCAGATGCCTACTGTAAAGTGAAATACAGTGCCTGCCAAAATTGAAGACTACTGCTCTACATGTATCTTTCATGCCCAAGAGGCTTCACAGAAGCACTACATAACCTTCATTAGAAAAACTTTAGCGGATTTCTTCTGAGTTTTTTTGCTCCATCTTGAGGAATATATATATTTTGTGGAATACATGTGTGTGGAATTTTATGTGTGTGTATGGGTGTATATATCTCTATATCTCAACCACTGTTTTATTCCTTATGCTTTAAATATATTTATTAAATGAATCATACTAGACTGAAGGGTGATGGACTTTCATAGAAAATTCAGTTATTCAGATGAAGATGTGCTATGCTGAAATCATTTGTGTTTTCCTTACAGTTTCTCAAATGCATGACAGAAAAGCCTGTATTTGTTTCTCTCTACTTTTTCAGAATTTCACTCTCTTCTTTTAAATACTCTGATAGTATATCCTCTACCATGTTATTTTGCTTAAAATACCACCTCCTATCTTTCATTCAATTTTGTATTGATTTTGTATTTTAAACACCATTCATCATTATTAACAACTGTCCCTAGCAATCGCTCAGCAGAG